GTTTGTTTGTTTTTGGGCTTCTGTGCCAAGATTGTGTTTGCATGCAGTACAAATAGCCTACAGCGGCATTTTAGTACCATATTGAAAAATAAGATTAACGTCATAATATTTGAAGAATAAAGTCAAAATTACGATAATAAAACCAGTTTATAGGCCTATTGCCCATTAAGGTAATGTGAGAATTCCATAAAAAATTTTTTTGCATGTGGGCCCGGGGCTGACTTGCTACCACTGAATAAACCTGATTTCTCAAGTTGGGTTCATTATATTATACCTGTTTTACATTATAAAAATATGGGCGTATTCCTTGAACTTTTTCATGCTTGGTTAATTTAGTGTTATATATTAATTGAAGTCTAATAGTTCTAACATTATCAAGCATAAGCGTAACGCATATGTGCCACTAATGCTTTAAAAATATAAACCGAACTCCAGTAACCATGGAAAGTGCCTTTATAAGTAAGGTGTTCGTTTCCATGTTTTCCTTCACACTGCACAGGGCACTTCCTTCTGCTTTTCTCATTAATCAGCTCCATTGGCGCTCCTTTTCCTGTTTTGAGTTTCGATCCGCTCGACTGAGCTCAGATAATAAGTTTTGGACATCAGCTCAACCTTCTAAGCAGACCGGAAGTGCTCAGGTGGTCCGGAGCTGCCATTAATTCAGACAATACAATCAAAAATGCTCTCTAATACCGGTAGCTATTTGTTTCAAACGGCCAAAATCCTGTAGCGAAACATGAAACGAACGTAATGAGTGTACATTTATTATTCGAACAGGCTATAAGTGCCAGTTTTAATGCAGCGTACTGTTACATAAACTGATTTATTATCGTTCTCTATTTGTTGAGCATTGACATGACTGGGGAATAAAATATCCCTAAGGTCAAGATTTAAGATGCTCGGTCGGTAGTGCAACAACCAGCATCGCTGCCCGCTGCTCGCGGGGGGTGGAGCGCGCGCTGAGATTCAACAGCAGCCTGCCTGCACACAGCTCTTGCATTAGATCATTCACCTTCTACACACGCGTTTAACCACTTCCAGCGATGCTTAGCAATGTGAGTACATTTTATTTTGCTTCTACTTCTTCATTTTTGTGGGCGGTATCATATATTAGCTACTAATTGTATTTGCTATAGCCTTTACAGGCATTATTTTGTCATTTCATTTGTTGTTTTATTGCTTTATCCATTTCATTTTATGCCAGACAATATATTGTAGTTGTACTTTTTGTTGTTGTTACATAGACTTTTGTGTTTTGATTGATTTTTAATTTTAACTGACTATATAAAGAAGTATGCACATATGTAATTTCTTGCAACAATTTTTCCCACCTCAGCAAGAGTTCAAGAGACTAGTACGATATGTGTGGTCTGTTAAATTTATATAGCCTAATTAAATGAATAATAGCTGCATAAAACTGCATACTTCCTTTTGTTGCACAAAATTCAATGAATTCTGTGCAAATCATTTAAATAGCACTTTTAGTTTATTCCCGAGGTGTGACTCTGGAGGCATTTGAACTGCACACCTGCTTGTGAGAATTATTACAGAGGACAGCTAGACTGTGATTTATAACACCACTTATATCCTTGTCAAAATGTAACTCACCAAGGGGCAGCTTTTTATAATCCAAATCAGCTGTCATAGATCATTAGGAATGTCTGAATGCTATTCTACTGTATTTGACAAATCCACTCACTAAGTGTGGCTTATCGAATACAGAGGCAGACCGTCTCCTGAATATTGATGCTCAGGTCTTATGAGTAATGTCTTTGAATTTAGTAAAGGTCAGGAGGACAGTCTTGGCCCTCTAATGAATTACTGTTAAATTGACAACAAAATCTATCTATCTATCTATCTCTTTCTCTCTCAAATGGGTGTATTTTTCATATCTTTATAAATATGCTCTCTTTCTGAGTGCATAAAGTAACTGTTGACTCTTGGAGTGGCTAAGAAAAATGGTAAGAAACAATCTGTCTGTGTGAGGGCTGATCATATTGAGTCAGTTTTTCATAACAAGCTTCCCACAGGATGTGACTTCTGACCTAATGTTCAGTGTCACATCTGACAACCTGAAATAGAGACATCTAGAGTCAAAGATGGTAGAGAGATGGATGATTTCTGTCTCATTTAGGATTCTGTGTGTTTGTGTGTGTGTATACACGTGTGTGTGCATGCATGTGTGTCGGTATGTCTGTTTCTATTTTAGATTAGTTACTCTGGTGAATTGACATGAAGGGGTGCAATAATCAATGGACACCTATCAGAGAATGAAACAACAAGCGTCTTTAATGCCACCAAAGCACTTTAAAATCAATATGTCACTTGTAAGGACTATTGGGGAACTGCTTTGATTCACCCACTGTTTTAAGCCCAATAAGCTGTGATTTGATGGATTAAAAAGATTTAAAAAAAACAACAACATGTATTCGGAGATTTAAAAAGCTTAATTTTAAGAAGAAGGGGATTTTAATGAGAAGATGTGACAAGATGCTTAGAACAAAACACTGAGACACAAACCAACAGAGCTTATGATAAAAACAGATCTTATTGTTGAATTACATTTTAACCATTTCATTTTTTTTCTGGTTTGATTCACTTTTAATAAACAAGCATAACGTTTCATGGTTAAAGTGCTGAGCACAGCTCATCAGGTGGGCTGAGTGTGGGATACTTTAAGTATGTATTAGTTTCTCTAATATTTCATCATATTCATTTTTTTTTTTTTTTGCGGTGCCTATCAGATACAGAATGGTTGTTGAATAGTATTCCCATACTACATGTTCTAGCTTAGGATATATATTGCATAGCCTCAATACTCCATAAAGATGATTCATTGACATAGTCTAAGTCTAACCCTTGACCAAACATGATCTCTTTCAGTGATTCTATATTAGAAATCCTCGTATAGGCTAATATTGATTTGGCCTCACAGAAATGGTTTGATCAAGCATTTTCATTCTAGAGACACATAATAATCGTTGTTAAAAAAATTCTATAAATAAGCCTACAAAACCCATTTCACATTTAAACAGCTGAAGGGGGAATGACATTTCCGCTTAGGCTTCTGAAAAAAACATGACAGGCAAATATCTGGAACATTTCAGGGACAAAGACAGATTTTAGTAGATTGACTGGTACCATTATGAGCAAAGTATGTTTCTTTACTCAGTAGGTGACTGGAATTCACTTGCGGTATTGTGCTGCAGACAAGTTGGTTGCCAAGTTGTGTGACTTCCAGTAAAGTAATTGCATGGCCAAGCTTGTAAGTTGAATGGTCAGTTACAATGAGATTCCTACCAGAATAAAATCTAAAAGAATGAATGTGAGAACCCCCTGAGCAGGAACTACTAGGCTGCCATCACCCCATTAATGGGAAGGATGTCTGCATAAAGTTATCCACCTCAGCACAACAGGACACACTCATAGTGTTCTTGACTCGATGCTGACCTCCATTGTACTACCTCTAGTCATGTAAGTGCGAAGTGACACACAGCAGTGATTGGCCTCATCCAGCATCTCAGAGGGGTTTCCTAGGTTCCCTAGGAAGGTCTTAATGTTTCCTTTTCCAAATGTTTAGAGCAGACATTGCTGTCAATAACAGTGCTGCATGCTTAAGCTGTATTGTGTATCTTAAGCATAATGTGTTGGTATTTAAAGGGGTCATATGATGCGATTTCAAGTTTTCCTTTCTCTTTGGAGTGTTACAAGCTGTTCTTGATTGGCCAAACGCATATGAAAACACCCTCACCCACCATGATTTAAAACGCCGTGTAAACATACTGTAAGCATGTCAACTTATTTCGCAAGTATGGAGAACAGCGATAGATGGACAGACGCTGAAGTGCAGGCACTTGTAGCAAATGTAGCACTGCCAGTTGTCGTTGGAGATTCTTAGTCCTCCTTTCCGTTCTTTCAATCGCTTTACGTATACGTCGACTTTCCATGTCTATTATTGTGAAACCCGCGAGACACAACAAACACAGCTCCGAGCACAGCGACCTCCATCCTCCTGTTGTTAATGTTGTTCTTCTTTGTTTCTGTTGTTGAAGGCCGCGCACAAATGATGTCGCTGTCGACCGGCTTAGGTCACTTCTTAGTACACACTGTCGGTGCGAATGCAACCCTTTAAATGGTACTGGGAAATAGTTCGCGCAAAATTGTCCCAGTACTTTAGTACTGTACATTTAGTTCTGGAACTAAAGCGGTGCGAAAGGGCCTATATAATGTACAGTATGTGGAAAATAATGTGTTTTTTTAACCTTAAACCGCATAAACACATTTCATTACACCAAATACACAAAATAATGTTCTTTTTAGCAACATCATATTACCCCTTTAAGGTTTTATAAGTTATTTTTTATGGAAAGGTATGCAGGAAAGATATTACTGAAATAACTCTCCTGAGATATCATGTCGATCTCTGTGACAGCTCAAGTAAACAGTAAAATAAATAATGTATGTGAGCTGTGGTTAGATTATTTGTTCAGGCAATCGGAAGGCTTTAATGGAAACATTTCCGCTTTATAATTTAAAAAATATAAAGATAAATGCAACATTTTACCTCACAATTCTGACGTAAGAAAGAAAGAATTGCAAGCTATAGGCTAAACTCACAATTCTGAGAAAAAAGTTTGAATTGCGAGATGTTAACTCAAAATTTTAAAAAGAAATAAACTCAAAATTGTGAGATTTTGTTCGTTTACAGTGGGAAGCCTATATATGGGTCTGTATGTAGGACACTGAAAGCATGATAGATAAACTTGGAGTGGTTTTCATGAGTTTGTCCAGTGTGAAATGTTTTATTCTGCAATTTATCTCTATCGTTTAAACTGTTTTATTGTAAAAACAAAAGATGTTGGTCGCAATGCTTCTAAACATTTCTTACAACAACTCACTTTCTTTACAGCAGACGTACATGGATGCAGCATCATGTATCTAACATCACCTGTTACCAGACCCTGAGCATCCATTCAGTTAAGTCCATACCACATCAGGACATGAACTCATCGGAGTGGCCCACACTTTCTCCAAACTCGTCTTTGAGTCACTCAAACCACAGTGATGAGTCAAGCAGGTCCAAGTCGAGTGCTTCAACCTGTGAGCAGGTGCACATTGCACCTGAGGTCTTCCTTACACTGGGCCTCATCAGCCTGCTTGAAAACATCCTGGTCATCCTTGCCATCGTGAAGAACAAGAACCTCCACTCGCCCATGTACTTCTTCGTTTGCAGCCTAGCAGTGGCTGACATGTTAGTGAGTGTATCCAATGCATGGGAGACAATAGTCATCCACCTGCTGGCAAACAGGAGTTTGGTGATTGAGGATCACTTCATCCGTCAGATGGATAACATCTTCGATTCTCTCATCTGTATCTCTGTGGTGGCGTCTATGTGGAGTCTGTTAGCGATCGCAGTGGATCGCTATGTGACTATCTTCTATGCTCTTCGCTACCATAATATAATGACCATACGGCGAGCTGGGATTCTCATCGGCAGCATCTGGACTTTCTCCACAGGTTGTGGGATCATCTTTATCATCTACTCTGACACAAAGCCTGTGGTGGTGTGCCTGGTGGCCATGTTCTTTGCCATGCTGCTGCTGATGGCATCACTCTACAGCCACATGTTCCTGCTGGCTTGTTCGCATGTTAAAAGCATGGCGGCATTACCAGGCTATAATGTCAACATCAGGCAGAGAGCTAGCATGAAGGGTGCCGTCACCCTCACTATACTACTAGGCATCTTCATCGTATGCTGGGTGCCATTTTTTCTCCATCTCATCCTTATGATCTCCTGCCCACAGAACATTTACTGCGTCTGCTTCATGTCACACTTTAACTTATACCTGATACTCATCATGTGTAACTCTGTGATTGACCCACTGATCTATGCGCTCAGGAGCCAAGAAATGAGAAAGACATTTAAAGAGATCTTCTGCTACGATGGACTACACAGTCTCTGGAACCTGGTCAGCAAATATTGAACAGGATTCCTGAAAGAACCTGAAGGGATGGACTGATGGATGAATGGTGTGTATAGATAGATGGATTGGTGCATAATTGCAATGGAAGAGGTAAAAAACCTAAACCTCTTAATTGGGGACAGTATATAAAATTTGTACACGCTTTTCCATGTACTTCATCATGTGAAATGTTTTGATGTTGCACTGGATGTTTCATGTTGTGTTGTTGTAAAATACTGAAGTGTTCATAATGTGACATTTTGTTATATGTACTGTATTTATTATAAGAATGACATCTTCCTTAGCAGGGGTCATTCGTCAGGTCAATGCATTTTGTGCACAAAAACAGCTTTAATATTAATATGTATAGAGTAGAAATGTGCTCGTTTTCAGATTCTTTCTTTTTTTATGAAAGGAAAACACAGAGGACAGAAACTCAACCATAAGCAGACATATAACAAAATAATAATATAATAATAATAATAATGCAAACATAATACATGTATATAGTATAGAAACAGTATAGAATCATACAGACTGGTGTGAATAATATTGTAATACATCTGGGAAACCATAAAAGTCTTACAATATATGTACTTCAATACTGTACATCAGTATGCATGTACAAAATATTTGTGTAATTTAACTGTAATAAAATTATACATTTCTTTGTCATGTAAGCAGACAATTATTGTTTTGAGTCATTGTTAAAAGTCATGCACAAAAATATAGTAAAGACATTTTATTACTTTTGTATTTTTTCATAATAAAAATACATTTTCTTGAATTTAGAAAAGCATGAAAATTCAATTTAGAATTGTGTGTTATGCAAATATACGGTGTATGTAATATATGCATGTAAATGGTTGACATGTTTTTCCTAGTCTTCTGATTTAAAATTTTTAGCGCAATTAAAAACCTTCTTCATACAATTGCACTTGATTATTATGATTTCTATACTATCTGATAAATTGCAGGCCATTTAATAAGCTACTGTGTTAATGGGCAAGTACATAATTTCCTGCATTTAAAGGGGTGGTTCACCGGATTTTTTTTCTAGGCCTGATTGTGTTTATGGGGTGCAGTCTAACGTGTTAATGCTTCGTTTAAAAAAAACGCATTATTTTTCACATAATTTACCTTTATTCCACACCGCTCTGTCCCTTCTCTGAGAAACGCGCTGATCATTTCCTGCTTTTATGAAGCCCCGCCCTCAGAAATAGGCGATGGGCTCTGATTGATTAGCTAGCCCAGTGTGTTGTGATTGGCTAAACCGCCTCTAGTGCGCGTCTAAACATCCCGCCCCCCTCACGTCAGCGGCATGTGCTCCGGTTGTATTGTAAACAACGGCGTCGTTAATATCACTTATCAGTTTGAGCCCGATTGAGAAGCAGAGGATATTATTGAAGAGGATCGTGCAGAACCTGTGCAAGCAGCTTTTAATGGTAGGCCTATGTTTTTTGTTTGTTGTTGTCTCA